GAACATTTGCTTTTTTAAATGACTGTATAATTGGTCACGCGTGCAGACTTGAGACCCACGTCGAAAATACACCTACACTTACACATATATACTTCTGTATCTACACATACATATGTATGTATGTACACGTATCCGACAGACCTTGTTATATATAAATTTCAATTGAAAAAGGGGTGTGCACCTTATATCAGCTCCCATTTATATGGGAGGGGCTCGCACTATCAAAAATTTGATAAGAACCAGACATCTAAATCTAAATAGCATTTGCAAATATAACCGTTATCAACCCATTTGTTTTAACGCTAATTGAACTGGCCAAACTTTCGCAAGAGTCCAAGCACAACTATTATAAATATARTACACTGAGAGAACAGAAGAAGAATTCAATGCAATCTAAGCAATATTTTAAGTGTTATTAAACGTTAACTAAGAGTTTAATTAGAAAAACTAGATCCATAAAAGTTTCATAAGTAAAATTCTTTTGATAATTTTAATACAAATCTAGTGAAATAATTACACTCAAAATGAAATTCGCAATTAATTTTAAATTGATCAAAAAATCAATTTAAAATTAGAACTGTTATACTGATTTTTGTTTGTTTGTTATTTTATTCCATTTCTCTCTGTGTAATGTGCACATTTACTTATATTTCTATATCATTTTCAATTTTGTTATTTCTTTCCTTGCAGCAAAGACATAAATTCATACACGCAGACAAAATAAGAAAAGACCTCGTTTACAATTTACAAACAAGAGTCTCTCTCCCAGCTGACAATCGTTATATAAACAAAGAGAAGACATTCAACTTTCCAAGGTCGAAGCGGAGAGTTCAAGTTCAACATTAGACACAATTTGATAAGATGAGTGGACGCGACAATCGAGGCGCCGGCGGGGGCGGAGGTGGAGGCCATCATCACCAGCCGCTGAGCAGCGCCATGGGCAAACTAAAGGAAAAACTAACCAGAGCCGGTGTAAGTATGCTAAACAACAAACAATTAGAAATATATGTATATAGAAGCTGTWTTTATACGATTCAGTCTCYGATAATTTGTACTCACAGAATCCGAATCAAATATTTGTGATAGAAACGATGGAATTGAAACACAATAAAGTGTTATCATATAGAGTGAATCTATTATTGGGTAATATTCAGCGAGAAGAAGACA